AGGATAAAAGTACTTGTTTTATTTATTCTCCTTTATATTCAATGAAAGGAAAGTTTGCCAAGTCCAAAAGAAGCACAGAAAATCCGATAAGACCAAAATAGTACGAAATCTTTTAATCAACATCGAATCAATCTGGTTTGTAAGGATGTGTATTCAAAATGTTGTATTCAAAGTTTAGAGAAATGCTTGAACAAAATAACTATACAAAGTTTTTTTCGTCTCCTGTAAAATTTTTAAAATGGGACTTGTCAACTTTTCACTCTAAGCTAGCGACTTGTTTCCTTTATTATATACGAGGGTTGCTATTTATATTTCTGGCCTTAAGCATCTCTACTATTGTCAGATGCCATCTGACATTTCCATTAGAAAGTTTGACAGATTTTACCTCGAATGCTCTAAGAACGTTTCGATGCGTGAGCTATGTATATTAGTGTTGTTTACAGTGGCTTTCAGAATTCATGAAATTCAAGGGCGCGTTCATAAGATGAAGCTGTTGCCTAACCGTTGGCTATTTGTCTTACAAATGCACAGTAGTAGTAGTTCCCCTCAGCTCAACAGTTGTCAACTCTCCACCATTTTTTCCAGCGGAAAATTTGTACGCTACCTGAAGTCAACGTGTTGGGCTTAGCCTAAGCAGCTGATCGAAAAGACTTACGCCGCACAGTGCAAAAATCGAAAAATTCGTTGTCTGTAATGTGAACAAGGTTGGTATTTTTGTAAAGGTTATTTATCCACTAAAAAGGATCAAACAAATATTTCCCTATAAAATAAATTGTATGCCGCCAGGATGCCACTAAAGTGGACAAATTGTATACTAAGAATTTGTATAAGCGTAAGCTCTTCACGGAAACAAATGTCAAAAATACACTCTTTGAAATAAAATGTTGGTTTGACGTCTTTTATTTCCATATAGATAGTAGAAAACTACAGGAATAACAATTTTGGAAAAAAATTAAACACAGGGCGTCCCTGCGGTATTCCGGTAAAACAATTTTTTTTAATACAAATTTCACAAAATGGTAAACTTTAATGTAATGGATAATATATATATATGTCAAAATATGTTATTTTTTATTATTTTATTAAATAATACGGGTTTTTAGCTTTCGAAAAAAAGAAAAACCTGCTAACTTTTTGCACTTTTTGAAGTAATGCGTTTTTTGTTAATGCATAAAATCATTTTTTTATTTTTTTTTAGTGCCATTAGACGTTCGTTCTATGTTCAAAAATTAAGTGTCAGATTAAAAAGCTTGAGCTCTAGACTATAGAGGATTATTTTTTTAAAGAGTTGCCACCTGATAAAAAAATTTAATTCGAATTTTTTAGCAAGTTAAATGAATTATTTAGAGATCGGTATCAATCGAAATATGTATGAAAAGGGTTTATTTCTTAACTCCATGTAGAGGGTTGCCACCTGTTAAAAAAATCAAATTCCATTTAAATTTAAAGAATTAGGTTATTGAAATAGATTGAAATAGACTCACCATATGGGAGTCAGACGAAAGAGATTTAAGAAGGTTTTAGCTTTCAAATATTACGAAGAGGGCTGCCACCTGTTTGTAAAGTCAAATTTAGTTAAACTTAAATAATAATTGTGTCAAACCAAAGGTTTACGACATTATATTTATTATTTTATTACAAATACATACACTATGCTTTGTTCTGATTACATTCCTTTTAAATTACTGGACTCTTAAATTAACTCAGGAATGCTTTTACTCTTCACTTATTCTTTGCTATATATGTATGTCCAATTTTTTCTTTTGTCTGATAGCCATATTGATATAGACATTTCCGTTACCTTATTCCCTTAATTGAAGTAAATTTGCTTTTATGTGTCGTTTAGAAGTAAAGATTTTTCAAAACCATTTCAATTGATCCCCATATTGTAATCTGTAATTCATTTAACTTACTAAATAATTTTAATAAAACAACAGGCGACAGCCCTTTCCAAAAAATATAAATTCACTGCACATCTACAGACCAAGCCCTGTCATTTGACACTTCACTTTTGACAATAGAACATATGTACATATTATGTACATACTAGGAATGTTAATTCCGGGATCCCGGCCCTTTTTAGGTCCCGAAAACCCCTGGATTATTTGCCAAGAATCCCGGGATTTTCGGGATTTGTAATTTGCACTGATGGAAATAATAGAAACTCCTTTTTCTGCACCATTATTGGCTATATTTATTTATTTTTTATTTAATAATTAATATTTTTTCATAAATGTTTAGCTCATTATACATACAACACCGTGCGATAGTAAATTGTACACACAAAAATAAATATATTCGTGAAAACATGGGCCAAATATTGTAAAACTGCGTTTTTAGTTTTTCACCCTGACGTAAGTAATTCCAAAATTATTTAAAAAATTAAGGAAGAAAATTCTGTAGAATTTAATCACTGGTAAGTATTGAAAATTTCCTTTTAAGATTTTTTCCTTGAAATTTCGCAATATTTTTTTAGAACAAATTATATTTCTTACAGCAACACCTTCGGAAAGGCACGCCGAGCCTTTCTACATGCTTATCCATTAGACGGTGCCCGGTAAGAGCGCCCGCAAGTTCTTTTCAAAGAGTATACACTTTGTGAGCGCGTTCGATACCATTTTGGCAACGCTAGCCTGGAAATTTTACATTTCTTCCTTGACTCCATCTTTCTTCAGCATGTTTGTATACAAATTCTCTAAGTAGCAGCTTGCAAGTAGCATACATATGGCATACAAATGCGTTTCTTACCAGGAAGAATCTACTTGACCGTGTATTGCCTTGCAAATTTATCTGCCGTGGTCCCTATGACCAAGGGCCCAAGTGAGGTGAAGTCTGTTCTACTTATCCATCTCCTGTAGAGATAGCGCAAACTTTGAGTGAAAGAGCTCAGAGCAGCATGGCTGTCATTAAAAATTTAGACGTATCTTCCCATTATTTCGGTTCCAAGCTTCGCATCAGCCTCCATCATAGCTGAAACTACAGCTTCGAGTTCGTTGAATCTGGTAACATAAAAGGGATTTTCAGTGCGGGATTTAGAAAGAAATCGTCTCCCCTCACCGTCAATACTATCAGGTAAAGTGTTTAAGGATGAAACGATACGTGTAAATATAAGTACATACTCGAAACTTTTCGTTCGATACCAAGTAATTTTGGTATCGATACTTTTGAATAATTTACTGAGTAGATATTGAAAAAAGAATACTCATATCGAAAGCCGATACCAAGGCGAACTTTCTTTCGGAATTTTTTCTCCACTAATATTAATTGCCCAATGCTTTATGGCTGTTTAAACGAGAGCGACCTTCAAATATTGAAGATGTTAATTTTTTTTTCTGAAACCAGTATTCAAAGAGCTTTTTAACCGATATTTTTGCTGTTCTTGCATCACGGAATCTATTTCCATGGTCGCTTAAACCAAAAAAAAACTTTTAAAGTTCATTGCAGGCTGCTCTGTACTGTATGAAACGTACTGTATGAAGCGCTGAAGCCCACCTTCACCGAACTGATTGGGCCTTATGAATGCAACTTTGGACCTGGTAAATCCATCATAGACCAGTTATTCAAAATACACAAAATATTGGAAAATACCCGCGAGAAGAGCATCGACACACATCATTTAAAAGAGCGTTCAATATCCGACAACGTCGACATCTTTGGTAAAAAAACCAGCCCTACGTACATAAAAATAATGTCAGCCTCTTCCCAACAACTGATACCTTGCACTGAGTAGGCAATTGAGAAGTGAAAGGATCACTAGGATTCAGGCAGAAGGAGGTTAATATGTCAGGTGCAGTGTTAATAAAGGCTGCCCTCAAGGCGCCGTGTTCCCCTTTTCTCTGATGGTTGGTAATTGATTCCATTATTGTCACTCTAAATGACACTTGTATCTATGCCCAGACCTATGCAGATGAGGTGAGGTAGGCTCCCTCAGTAGACTCTCAATCAATCAGTCGAAAATTGCTGTACGGAAGCTTTCTCTACAACACCTGGCTCTGCTCTTGATGCTCTGCTAAACTTACCATGACACAAGTGTCTTTTCATTACCCCAGGATTATGCGCCATCATTGCCTTTGCTGAGGAGATTCTACCAGATGGAGTTCTCTGACGCTGAATGATGGCTTAATTTCAACACTGGGCCCGGATCACATACTGCCGGTTCTTTAGTGGTGGCTCCAAAACTGGAACTGGGCCATAATCTAATGTCTATATCGAAGGTAATGGGGATGAACTTCACTATTTTCTTGGGGAATATGCCTCGGAATTTCAAGCCAAGGTATTTGCAGCAGAAGTTTACGTGTTTGTAGTGACAGTAACGCTCCACTTAAGGCATTGGCCACTTCCAGACTGATCCGGCAATGCAGGCCTCGCCTAAATTATGTAGGAAAACGTAACTAACTTGTCTTACTCTGGTTGCCAGGTCACTCGGGAGTGCGTGGTAATGACTCATCTGATCATTTGGCTCACCACCACCTTCGGCCATCGAAGTCACCGTCAGAAGCTGGGTGAATATTACGCTCAGCAAAGACTGATAGGCTTCGAGAGAATGCAAGTGGGCGAAACTTATGTTGCCTTCATTGTTGGGTATGTGAGTTAGGTTTTGCTTTCATTGAACAGATGATTGGACTGCAGACAAATTGTGGGACTATGGGCCGGACACCTTAAGTGGCGCAAACACCTTACTGCGATCGGCATACAATGGGGTTGTCATTTGTCCTTCCTGCCTTGAAGAAGATGAGACGACGAAACACATTTTGTGCTGCATTTGTTTTGTGTACTTAGTTCCGACACAAGAATAAAAGTAAATTAAATAAAAATAGTTTAAAGAGGCCTTGGAGCATGTTCAAAGAATCGAAGAAATATTTTTCAGGAGTTTCGTCTTTTTTTGTGATAGCTTAAAGTTTCAGGAGAAAAATAAAAGCAAACGCTCCGGGTAGTCTAATCAAATTTGTGGTATTAATAATAAACAGTTTAAAAGCATTTTATTTTCGATCTTCAATATTTTATTCAAACAACTCAGCGTCTTGATACAATAAGAAATTTAAGAACATCGTAATATTTATATATGTAATTATTTAGGTATTTACTTGTAATGTGTGTATGTATGTATTTTTGTAGTATTAAACAATTAATTTCTAATAATTAACAATGTAATGATAAGTAATGCATAATTACAATTTATGTTAGAACAATTATTCTTAGAATTGTTTATAGAGTTTTTAAATAAATATATATGCATGTATGTGTATTTTTGGGTTGCAATAGAGTAACAAATACATACTTACAAACACAAGGTATTCGAACATTTAGAAGTGCTTAAAAAAGGGTTCAATCCGGTTCCAAAAACAAACAAAAAATATGTTGTAGTACAATGTGTGCCGGCTTTTAAAGTGTTTTATCATCGCTTATCTGTGAGCATTTGTAGGTGTACATAAAAAGTGTACGCCGAAACGCGCATGCGCACATTGATGTGGGCGATAGTTTGCGCACGAACACACACGTTTACTTTCATTGGATAATACTCATAAGCATGTATTGTATGTATTACATATTTATTTGGATTTGTAGATTTATTCGAGTGTTCGTAGGTTAAGGTTAAATAAGGAAGCTATTAAAAACAATAATAAAACTTTTACGAGATTTGTTGGGTAACAAAATACTATACAACAACATCAACACGTTATTAACAGAATATCAGTTTTGTATCAATCCAGTTGGCGAATTCGAAGAACTTCGAGCACAACGCGGCGGTGGTAGGGGACGCGCAGCGTATAATCTAATATTTATAAAGCTTCTAGATGCGCTTTTGATGGTTCCTTTACTGTGCGCGTGGCTCTATTTAAGATATAAGAGAAACGCGCGCGCGCGGAAACGACTTTCGCCAGCGCGTATTACTGCTGCCGCTAACGCATTGTCGCTACTACCCTACCTACTACTGCTATGTGTATTTACATTTGCAAGTTTTGCTGTTGTCGTTGTTGACTAACGCCGCGCCTCGATGCGTCGCGCGCTGGTAGCGGCTGTTTGCTGCTGCGCCAAGCGCTCGGTCGCATCACGGACGCGACTGCTTAACCGAAGTGGCGCTGATACGCGCCCATACAATGGCGAACTGGGCATGGATGTGCACTGTTTTTGCTGTTGTTGTTGTTGCTTTTGTTGCTGTAATATTGAGTTCGTTGATTTCGTTGTGGCGGTTGCTGCGTTTGCTGTGCGGTAAAAAGAAAACAAAAAATAATAATAAAAATCTAAATTCAAAAGCAACTAACAATGTCTCTCTCTCTCACTCTCTTCAAGCTTAAAAAAAAGAAATGCGACTATGTACTTTGGCTATTGTAGGCGAAGCGTTTGTTAGCAGCATGCTTGCCATGTTCACGCGCGCTGATGGGCACCGGTGATGTTTGCGTGGCTCCCAACTTTCCCGAATTCACCGCCTTGGCATTGTTGCTGCCGCTAGACGCGTTGTTAAATTTATTCTTCAACTGTGAAACTTTTCCCGCTGCTTCGAAAATCGGTTTGGACTGCTGCTTGGGTTTTTCGCGCAGTGCGTTATTCTCCAGCGATTTCTTGCGCATCTTAACGGTGTTGGTGAAGTCGGAGCGCATGATGGGTTCACGGTGTGGTGGCGATGCTAATACTGCAGTAGTGTCCAGCACATTAACGTGCGGGGTGGAGGTGGGTGACACAGACAGTGGTGGCGCTTCGGTCATTGTCACGACGACCGCATCCGTTCCCAGCGCTGGCAAGTACGTTTCCATTGCGCTCTCTTCCATTGCTGGCGCTGCTGTGTTCAAACTTGCTTGTCGCAACTGCTGCCCCAATGCGCTTAGCGTCTCTGTATGTTTTTCATCAAAACATGGTAGCGCCAAGTCTGTCGTCGACTCAACCTCGGCAACGTGTCTTCCTTCCCCACGCTGACTACTGCGCGTACTGCATTCGATTTCCGTTTGCTGTGCGATTTCTTCCAACTTCGACTTGAGTACATGGTGTGGTACGCCCAGCGACAGCAGCGTCTCTGCGTTTGCTGCCGCCAGTTCATCCGCAGCGCTATGCTGTGCTATCACCGGCACAGTCATCGAGCCAACGCAGTGGCACGGCAAATTTCCACCTGCGCTGCAGTTCGAGCACTCGCTGTAACCGGAATCACTACGTTCGCTACATTGCGATTTGTCGCGCACTTTCAGAGTTTTTTGTATGCGTCGCTGCGCCTCAAGCGTGGTTGGCGCTGGCAGCTCAATGCTAAAGTCGTCATCTTCTTCATGCAATGAACCCATGTGCGTGCCGTTATGCGGATTAAAGATGTGATGTAGACCGGATATGGAAGGTCGTGGACTGTTGGGTAGACTTCCAGCGCCGGAAATGGCGGAATTGCGACGCGAAGCAGAGAGCGTAGCCATGCGGCCTAAAGCGCGTATAGCATTTCCGGTTTTCTTGGGTTCAATGGTAAAGCGATAAGCAAAGCGTTGGCATATTTGCGTAGATGGTTTTAGCGATAAGCAAGCAGGGAATCAAATGAAAATAACGAAATGAAAAAAATTATAATAATTAAAAATTTGAAATGTTAATTTTTATGATTTCAAATTAGGCGTGCTGATTTGTATAATAAAGTAGTGAAGACGGTCTGTGTAAACGTGTAACTATGCAAAACAGCCCCACCATCTGTTGTGGACACGGTTTGGCACCTGCCACATAAAAAGCCCCTCCAATGAAAAGTTACAACATGCCTCGAATAAGTACCCCTACTTTGGATGCCGACCCCTGCCAACGTTTGAAGGACTACGATTTGAGGACATGACCCTGAAGAGATGAAATGGACGGGCAAGATAAGAAGACGTCAACCACCACGCGCAAACGGACTGAGGCTGATCGCCTTCGCTGAGTATAGAAAAATGGCAGTCTAGGAAAACGTAAAGCTACATACGTAGCTGCCACCGGATTGATAAACGTGAAAACAGATCGGTCATGTTGTGATAGAATTCCGCGAGCCCACAGAAACAATTGGTACAATAATTTAAGCCCCCACAGAAAAAAGGATGTTGCCTAGCGCCACGCGCTGCGAGATTCGAATCTTCAAATGGCGATTTTTTGTTCTTTTTTCTTCTTAAATAAAAAGATGCTTTTAATTGTTTGACTGTATTGTTTGAAAAAGAAAAATATATACTTTTTTAATTTCTTAATTTTCAGAAACTTATTTTATAAATTGTTTGTTTTTAATTTTCAATTAATTTTTTGTCATTTTTAATTAAAGTTTCTTTTAATTTTTATGCTTTATTGCTTTAAAATGAAAAGTATATTTGAATTTAAGAAATCTATTTACTTTTTTTTTATTTAATTTTCTTTTAATTATGCATAAGATTTTGTTTTAAAAAGAATAATACTTATTTAATTTCTCTTAAATATTAGACACTTTTGTTATTTTTTTTTGTATTATAAGATTTTGTTTTAAAAAGAAAAATATATTTTTTTTTTCATTTTATTTTCAGAAACTTTATTTTATCTTTCCCTTGTTTTAACTTTAATTTTTTTTTAGAGTTTTAAATGGAAAAACAAAATTTTAACATTATTTAATTTTTTAAGACTTATTTAATTTTATCTTTGTTTTATTTTAATTTTTTAATTTTATTGTATTAAAAAGAAAAGTATGTATTTTTTAATTTCATTTAAATTTTATAATCTCATTTTACGTATTTCATTATTTAAATTTATTTTCTTTAAACTTTTAGATTTTGTGATTGAAAGTTAAAATACTTTTTAAATTTCATTTAATTATTTTATTTTCTTATATATAATTTTTTTGTCTCTTTCAATTTTTCTTCTAAAGTTTAGAAGGCGCCAGTTTTATCGGGAGGGCCAGGTAACGATTGTTTTCCTGTCCTTCTCGCAAAATTTTAAAGGCTTTCTCGATACCTCGAAACTTTTGTCTTTCGAAAGACAAAATGTTCGTTGAAGGCGGTCGTCAGAATTGCCCTATTATCACCACTAAGAACGTCCTCTTGCAAACGTAACGACGGATCTATCTTGTCAACAATTGTTTGTACTGGGTTGATAATTGAACAGTAAGGCCCTCTTTCAAGGGGAGTAACTGACCCGCAACTTGACAGTACTGACGAATACCTGCAGAAGCCTTGACGATGCCATTATCTCACGAGGCGGCCCTTAGAGAGTGGTCTGAAACTATCGAAGGTTTTTGGCCATCGTACCACCATCGACAGTTTTTGTTTTTCTTTCATCATTTTTTTATTGCTTATTGTCAATTTGCATGAGCATTTGACACAACCTTGCAGCACCTTTTAATAAAAGATAGTTCGGCAGCGTATATTTACCAGCATTTTCAGCGGGTGCTTTGATAAGTGAAAGAAAGGATAGATTCGAGACAGGAACTAATAGAAAATAAATAGCTCTAAAAAAATTC